TTGGTGGAAGCTGAAGTCTATCTCTGTTTAGGATGTGGTAAACTTTTGTTTTAAGACCTATTAACTTAAGTGCAAATATTTGTGGAATAAAGTATTGTGCAGACTGAATTAGAGGATGAGAATCTGGCCCTTTATGAAGGAAGGTGTGTGATGCATATTAATGTGATACTGTAAAAGCAAAAAAACCAAAACAGCCGGATTTCTGCATGAGCAATAAAACAACAATGCTTTACATTTTAATATAATGTGCTTTTACTATTCATTGATGCTGTTTATTTGTTTCCTTTGTGAAATGTTGAAAGTGTTGTCTTTGGACTTACTGCTACAATGATGCCAAGAGCCAAACACACATTAATTTACACTATACATGTTAACAAATACAGACCCTTCCATAGTTTTTGTTTTGACAGACATTTCCTTAACTTGTTATAATGTGTTCTCTCATTCCTTTCTCTTTCTCCTCATCTAGCATTTTAGCAGTTTTTATTATTGCTGTTTCCATCTAGTTACTTACTGGCTTTGATGTAAATATTTTTCACCATTGATTACTTCTTCCAAATATTAGAGAAGGGGTGGGGAAAAATTCAGATCTTCTTATTTCTGCTTATTTCAGAGAGGGGGAAAAAACCAACAACACTCAACCAAAAAAACTGTGACATCATCTGAATTAGAACAAGAAAGGATAAAGATCTTGGAGACTGAATGAAAAAAAATGTCTGAGAATTGCAGAAGTTCTTGCTTTCTATTATCTGCAGGCAGTTGGTTTTCAACACTTTAGATGACTTGGGCATTCTGTGTAATCATTGCCAGGAGCCAGCTCTGAAAATGTTACTTGATCTGCAGTCCATGAACAGTACCAGGTTGTTGTTTTTTTTTTTTAAAGGCAGTTCACTGTTGACAGTTCTTTCACTCTTCCCTGAATATCAGAACATATGATTCCATCAAGCTGGCTTCAGGCTCTAGTGCTGACATTTCCTAATGCCCACATCACTCGAACATTTGAAAAGTGTTAATGAGCAGATCAAAAGGCCTGTTGCCTGAAGCTACTAACTTTCTTTCTTTTTCTTTCTCTCTCTCTCTCTCTCTCTCTTTCCAACTAAAGAAATGAATGAGATGCAGTCTTTCAGGTTGTTGATGATGACAAAACCAAACAAAACAAAATTGGAGATGAATCAAGCTGTACATATGGCTAGTAAGGCGGAAACACTTGCCCAGCTCTTTGGTGCAGGATTTAATAATAAAATAAAATAATAACCTTTTGATTATATCCTTTCAAATATCTGAAAAAAATAATTTTTATTCTACAAAAAAGCCTATGTTTCTCAATTTTTTAAATTTAGATATCAGGACAGCTTTCTATTGACCTTACTGACCTTTAGCATTCAAACTAAAGGAAGTACTGATAATGCTCTGCGAGAGAGAGAGAGACAGAGCATGCAAGGAGCCTGTTGAAACATAAGGATGCAGACATTTATGTGCCACTTCTGTCAACAGGGCCAAATATCTGCTACTCAAGGCAGATTATTTTCTCACACTATTGTCACTTAATAATGGGATTTGTTTCAAACAAGCTTCGTCTTCTGAAGCTATTAGGAAATGCATCTAATTAATGTTTTAGCTAAATCCCTAGTTTATTCTACATAACAGCATTACTTTAGGGTCTGATCCATTGTCCAAGAAGTCAGCAGAAAGACTTGCAATGGCTCACAGGTTTACAAAGCTCACTGAAGTAAAGAAGGTCTCTTTGCCTTGATTTCAGTGGAATTGAGCTGCCTATCCCATTAAAATGGATGGGAATTTGGGCCTAACAAGCACTGGCCTGCATCATGAAACTAATATGCATTTTGGTGCATAAAGTTGATTCTGATCTGAACAAGGGGAGATTCAGGATATAAAACTGTAGAACTATAAGGAGTGGAATGGCAGAATTATTATTTGTTTTTACATTAATATATATTTACATAGCACTCAGCCTTTTTTGGGATTGTTCCCTGAAAAGCTTGTAATCTTTATCAGGCACATATATAAATGTTAAGATAACATATAAAGCAAATATAGCATAAAGGGGGATGAGAGTTACAATAATCAAGATCACACAAGTTTTGTAATATTGGAAGAAGGTCTTAGCAGTTCTGACTTTTTGATTGGTTTTACTGGGAGTTAGGTACCTAGATGCTTTTTTTTTTTGTAAGTCCTACTAGATTTATGTCTGCATCTTCAAGCACCTAAATGTGTTTAAAGTCTGGTTCTTAAACCCTTTTGTTTCCTCAATTTGTCGTCTGAGAAGTAGAGGCAGTAATTCTTGCTGGCCTCTCAAGGCAGTAATTCTTGCTGGCCTCTCTTCACCATACTGGTGAACAAGTTAAGAGGCTGTGACTTGGATGATTACACAGTGTGGTGGGTGGCAAATTGGGTAGAGGGTCGTACCCAGAGAGTGGTGGTGGATGGGTCGGTATCGATCTGGAAGGACGTGGGCAGTGGAGTCCCGCAGGGCTTGATCCTTGGACCGATACTCTTCAATGTCTTCATCAGTGACTTGGATGAGGGAGTGAAGCATACTCTGTCCAAGTTTGCGGATGATACAAGACTCTGGGGAGAAGTGGACACACTGGAGGGCAGGGAACAACTATAGGCAGACCTGGACAGGTTGGACAAATGGGCAGAAAACAATACAATGCAATTTAACAAGGAGAAATGCAAAGTGCTGCACCTAGGGAGGAAAAATGTCCATCACTTCTACTGCCTAGGAAATGACCTGCTTGGTAGCATGGAAGTGGAAAGGGATCTTGGAGTCCTAGTGGACTCCAAGATGAACATGAGTTGGCAGTGTGATGAAGTCATCAGCAAAGCTGCACTTTATCAAACATCAGCAGATGCATGACAAACAGAACCAAGGAGGTAATACTTCCCATCTATCGGGCGCTGGTCAGACCGTAGTTGGAATACTGCGTGTAGTTTTGGGCGTCACACTTCAAGAGGGATGTGGATAACTTGGAGAGGGTCCAGAGAAGGGCCTCTTGTATGGCTAAGGGCTTGCAGGCCAAGCCCTACGAGCAGAGACTAGGGCACCTGGATCTTTCCTGCCTATGCAGGGGGTCGGACTCAATGATCTATTGAGGTCCCTTCTGACCCTAACACTTATGAATCTATGATATAAACTGCATTCACTCCTAAATATTTATAAAGTGCTCTAATTTCCTGTGGTGAGAGAGAATATAGAAAAATTCAACCTTAAGTTCTTTAGGGAAAATATCATTTTTGGCACATCTTGTAAGCACTGCTTCTGGACTCAAAGAGATGTCTTTTAGATAAAAACTTATAATTTGTTTTGCAATCTATTGAAGATGATGAAAGCTATTCTGGTGGCATTATGATCTGAAATGTGTGTGATAACATTTAAGTTAAACTGGTCAAGATATAAAAATATATATGTATTTCTTGTACATATGATGCTGTGAATCCATTCAGAATATTTGCAGGTACTGTTAAAGGTAATTAAAGGAGATGGAAGAAATAATATGCATGTAATATTTTACATATTTCACTTGCTACTAAGGGGTTTTATATATCATTCATTTTATATGTGGTACAACCTCATTATGAACCCTCATAACAAACCACTGTGAGGTTGGCCTCCAATATTAATCAAAAGTGTATAGTACCATGACACACAACTAGTCTTTGTATCAGTCCAGTATTTATTTGGTTTTCTATACAATTTGGACATACCAAAAATAGTCTCTCTTCATATAGTGAAGCATTTTTTTTTTTTGCTGTTAGGTTGGCGTTACAAAGAGTCCAACTTTAGCTTGAAACATTTAGACTGTTTGCAGAAAATTGCTTGTGATTTTAAACTTTTACCATCATCTAATAATGTATTAGCAACTTTTTCAGTTTAATGATGTTGTTAGTTGTGGGGAGAGAGGGGGTCTCTTGAAGATTCATGATATGCATACAAATAAGAGAACAGAAAGGAAGAACAGGGGAGGTCTGAGTAGCTAAAATCTATTTGAGAGCTCATTTGACTATCTTTAGTTAAAGCACCCCCACCATCATTTTGAAATGCGGGGATGCTGATACACGAGGCACAGAGGCTGGCTAGAGTGCGCTAATTAGCATGCTCCAGCAGACTCGATTAATTGAGTCTACTCCAACACATTACAATTACAGCATGTCAGAGCAGCCTCCTGGCACATCTGCAAGCACTCTCTATTCGTAACACTAAATTAAAGGCCAACACTAAGTTGAAACAAGATTGGAAAAGCCTTGTGTAGGGTAATAGAAGGCTTTTCTTAATAACATGAGAACACTCTGCTGTGTACTTCACTCTGTTAGTGTTAACTCAGACTGTTAACATCCATAGCCCAGAAGCCTCATGAATAAGTACAGAGTAGTGATGAATCACCTTAACAGTAGAGATCCTTTCCCAGCAGTGATCTAAAAATGCTCATGCATATAGCATCACCACATTGCAGGAATCCTGCTTTAAGCACAGTCGGGGAGCTACATCTTTAAATGATGGATCTGGAATGTTAGAGCCACATAAATAAGCTGGAAGACTAGAGGTGATCTTGAATTACTAGAAGGCATCTCACACTTGTCATCGGGCCAGAAATTCTCGAGCAGCATGGCATGAAGGGGCAGGCACCTCTGGTCCAAAATTAGCCAGTCTTCAGATAAGCCTTGGCCTGCCTTTCCTCCCATACCAACTAATTAATAGCCAGTGATGAAATCGTATGCAATTACTTAATATGACTGAACCTCATCCAATTAGTAAGTAAATGGACAGATACATTTGTCCAAAGAGTGCCTGTCAACAAGTTGATCTTATTTCCTATTAGAGGGATGGGGCTACTTTCCATGCAGACTTGATCAATAGCCAAGGGAATTGTAGCAGCAGTTCCCAGTTGGTGAACTAATATGGGTAACTTGCAGTGGAATTCTCTGAGATTTGAAACTGTGATTCCTGTCAGTCATGCGTGTATTTGTATTGTTTTTAGGTCATAAAGGATCCTCCTCCACCACCCCCAGCACCAAAAGAGGTATAGTATGAGGGTCTTTCTGGCCCTGTTAATTGCACACTTTTCAACAGCTCCAGCAGTCGCATTAGTTACATTATACCCGCACCTTTCATTCTACCTTAGCAACATATTTTTTGTGTAGAAACTTTCCCTGCTTTTTAAATTACATGTGACTGAGAAGGGAGGAAGACTTGGATTGGGGGCAGGCACTGCCTTCCCACTGGTTTACTGCAACTTGCAGGAATATAGCTTGCCTTTTTCACCCTCCTGAAAATCTGCCAGCTGGGAAGTGCATGCATGGTGGAGCAGGAGTTCCTTCCTAGAAACTGATGAGTTGTGAGGAGGTACGATAGAAATGGGGAGAGTCAAGTGATAGTAGAGGTAGCACATCACAGAGGAAATACTCTTCTGGTACTTTGGGCATCCTGAGCTTCATAGGAAGCTCATCTCCTTCAGGAGCAGCAGAGGAATAGAGCTTCATTTAGTGACTGCCTTGGGGAGTATTTAAGACAGTATCCTTGGCTTGGTATGGAACCTGATTGGGCTAGATGGTAAACTGTGTCTCCAATGGACTGGGTCAGTTCAATAATTGTTAATAATCTTCAACCCTCTGTTCTTAACCCAAAAAAGAAACACTGCTAAATGAAGTTTCTGTGAGACCACCACTATTTATGATGCACTTTATCTTACAGGCAGAGCTTAATTACAGGTTTAGTGGGAAAACTCTCCATCCTCCAAGGCCTAAATCGATAGTTAATCATAATACATTTTAAAATGTGAGTTTAATCAATAAATCTTTATTCCTGGACACTAGATATGACATACATAAACCATGCTTATATTTCTGTTTCTTGTCTTCTTTTTAACAAGCAAAGAAAGCTAGCTGACTTGTGAAACACTGTTTCAAGGCTGTCATAATTCCTGAGCCCTCTGTTCTAATGGTTTTCAAATTTGGTAGACAAAGCTATCTTATCTTAAGTCTTAACACACCTATGTTAAGTCTGATATTCTCATTTCTGGATATTTCTGTTGAAGAACTAATTTGGATACATAATGGAAACCCATTTGAAACCTTATCTATGAAGCCATTGGTGTCATACTGTAGCAATAAATAAAATATCTACGTTCTAGTAAGTTATAATGCCTGAAGGTTCTAAAGTGTATTCTGTATTCGCTATGTTCCATTCTTCACCATGTCCACAGGCATGTAATTTATTTCAATTTGATAATTTGTATGATATTTATTGAATCTGGGATTTCAAATCAGCCTAAGGGAGCTAAGTGTATAATTTTCCTAGATGCCTTTCAAAATTCCAACCCAGGAGTTTGCATTTATTCCCTGTTCCAAATGTCTTGTACTGCTTTAAATACATTTTCCTACAATCTGGCCACCAGATCTTAGATAGAATCCTAAAATATTATCACCTACCCCATACTCTACCATCTCCTGACCTCCTTATCCTCACATTCACCAATTCTTGGCCCTTCTCATGCCTACAGGAAAACCAGGGAGTTTGCCTGGTTTTAGCAGCACGTTCTCAAGACCATTGTAGCCTAAAACAATCTTTCCACTGCTTCTGAATTCTGGAGAACCTTTGTAGGAAGACTCTGTAATCCCCTGTAGTCTGTATAGAGGACTGGATCACTCAGCAGTGGGGAACTGGGCATTCTGGAGTCTGAACACACATCCTTATTCACATGAGTTCATAAATGTTTGTTCAAACACAGGCCTAAAATCAAGGATATAACCAGTTGCTTTGGGACCACAGCACAGAACCACTTGGTCAGAATTTCATATGGGAGAGGAACAGACCTTTTGAGCTATACTCCTTTTTTCCTTTCAGTCTGCTATGCTCAGTTTACTATATGGTGGGGATTAGAAGTCTCTCTCTCAACCCCTTTGCCTGTTGGACTGGGGCTATCCAAACCTTTTTCACTGGGGGTGTCCCTTGTGGTTTGTCCTTGAGTACAATATGTTTTAAGAGATGTTTATTTCCATGAATTCTGTTTGTTTTGCTGGAAAGGAGAATAGCATGATGACAGTTCTAATCAGTGGAATGTACAGTTCAAGTGGATTGAGAACCTCTGGCTGGAATTGGGGCTTTCCTAATGATGGTCAGTAACATTTTCCCATGAGCCAAGAGTCAGATATTTTCAACTATGGTCAGACATCATGTGTAACAAGGAAAACATCTCATCATGTGTGACCTTAAAATTTTATCTTTCTCTATTTAAGATTATGGATTTTTTTATTTATGGGCGCTAATAAAACCCCATATTAGAAAATAATTTTATGCAATGCGTATATCCTTTTTTTAAAAAAACAGTCTTTGAATTTATATGCAGGAAGAAGATGAAGAAGATCCTTTGCCTCCCAAAAAATGGCCGACAGTGGATGCTTCCTACTATGGTGGACGAGGAGTTGGAGGAATTAAAAGAATGGAGGTTTGTACTCTTTGGGGAAAAAAAAAAAAAAAATACTAATGCATTAGAACATTAGATTTTTTGAGACTAAAGTTGATGGAAACAAAGGCTGCTAAGTGTGCTGGAAAGATAATTGTGTCAAGTTTGCTTGCTTCCCAGTGACATCAGTTTCCTAACATTTTTACCCTATACAGTAATTTTAACCATATCTCAGTAAAATATGAAAGACCTGATTTCATTAGTTCCATTTATTTGGAACTTTAAATAGATGCATAAATGCATGCTCATTCCATCAAACTAATGAGAAAAGGAGGGTGAGAGCCTCTTTTTGAATGTTTTGGAAGAAATTACAGTGTAACATAAGTACTGCAACTGTGGGCCAGCCAGACACACTGGCAATAGTGACATTAAGGAGAGGCTTGATCCCAAAGGAACTCACAGCTACAACAGTGCCTGTCTTTGAAGAGACATGATAGCACCATGTTAATTAAAACAGAATGAAAAATGTGTGTCCTTATGGGCATGTCCTTATGTCAGATTTTATATTACGTCAGCCCTTATGGAATTTACAAGGCAGTTTTCCCTGCATTTTAACTTTATTCTAGAACACTGTTGATATCCAAAGTAACTGCCCAGAATCTATCTTCATATGTAGACCCAGCCAGGAAATATAAATGCATATTGGGCCCAGTCCTGCCTGAGTTCCTAACATCTAGTAGGTTTGTAAATGTGTAAGTGAGAGCAGAATAGGACTATCATGTTTCTTTCCTTAGTTGTAAATCCCTAGACTTTAGAAGTGTAAAGCTAAAATATATATTATGTAGCACTTCTATAACCTAGGATACCTGAGTGCTTTACACAGTAATGAATTAAGTTACAAAGTGTGGGCCTGGACTCCTAAATGGGCTTGTGGCGAGACTACACATTTGCTGTCTTTAAATTTTACAGCTTGGAAATAGTGCACTTTCCATTTTCCAGTCAAACAGAAACGTAAAAACCAATTAAACACTCATAATACTGATTACCTTTAAAAATGATTACATTTACATTTATCATGCAATAATATTTCCTATTCTAAGAATGAGTAAAATGCCTTGTGGGATCATAGAAATATAGGGCTAGAAGTCACTTCAGGAGGTCATTTAGTCTACTCCCTTGCTCATGGCAGGATGAACCCTGTTGAAACTGTCCCATTTGTATAAACTGCTCCTAAAAACTTAACAGGATGGAGATTCCATAAGCTCTTTAGTTAACATGTTGCAATACTTAACTACCCTCAGGGTTAGAAAGTTCTTTTTAATACCTAACATAAGTTTTGACAACTGTTTACTTCCTTTCCTATTCCCTGCTATCACAGAAAGAAGTATCTGACTATTATCAAATCCCACCTCGGTCTTTTCTTTTTCAGGCTAAATAATCTCGTTTTTCTCAACCTTTTCTCATAAGTTGTATTTCCTAGAACTCTAATCATTGTGTTGTTCTCCACTGGACTCTCAATTTGTCTATGAATATTTTGAAGTATAGTGCCCAAAACTGATTACAGTAGAAGATAAGAAAAGAAGTTGCCTTCGCAACCTCCATGATGATGGCAGAGTTTAGTCATCATTAGATAACTTTGGGGTTTACAGTTGCCTGAAAGCTTTCTGTTGTTGCATCAGCCTGCCCCACCCATGACAGATTTAGGATGTTAATATCATATTTGTGTCATCAAAGTCCACAAGCTCCGGTTTCTTTTAGGCAAAACTACTTTTAAGCTGAAGGAGAAGGTCATTTCTTCAATAAGGAAACCACCGTTTAGCTCTAAAAGGTTTTAACAGTGTTTAAAACACATTTTAACAGCTAAAAACACTGTGAAAATACCAAGGATCATAGTGAAAGATACAGGTACTTTTTAATGACTCAGCAGGGTCTACTTGGAAATGAAAGCCCATTCTAATATTACAGTGGGTACGTCTACATGAGATGGCTTAATGCCCTTTGGACTAATTCTACTGCATATTAGTGCAGCTGACAAAAACCATGCTAATGTGCAGTAGATTAGTCCAATGAGCATTAAGCATCACAAAACAAGTATTCATTTGTGCTAATGTGCAGTAGCACTGATTACAGCGCTTTAAGTTTGTACCTGTTATTACAGGTATTAACCTTAATGTGCCATAATTACAGCACATTAATGAACGTGTAGACATGCCCAGTGAGAATATTCCTGGGAGAGAAGAGAAAATACCTAAGTAAGCATAACTGAAAGGTTTAAAATCCCTTCCCGAGATACAGTAGCCTATATTTTACCCAGATGAGGTATAATACCTCATTGACAACTATGGGGCTTCATTGAGGTAAGTGGTAGAAAATACTGGTCCTATGTTTAAGTAACATCCTCCTCAAATATTTTTGTCTTAAATGGGAACATATTCTGGCTTGTTCTTTGTACACTGGTACAAGGCAGAAGAGGGACTCTACAGTGCCCTTACTTATTTTGCACGATGTGCTTCCTGGTTGCATCCTGACCATGCTGAAGGTTAAGGAGCAGGTTGTGCAGAGCCTTTACCATGGTGAGAAAGGGGAGGGGACTGGGTGGAGCTCTCATTTGGCACCAGCAACTTTGCCAATGCTATAGTGATGCCATCATGTCAGAGTATGAGTAACAAGAGACATGGACCTAGCTTCTTCCCCAGAGAAGCTGAACCAAGAGGATTATTTTAACTCTCCAGTTCATAAGCTCCCTGCTCCAGATATAGCACAGTTGTTTAGTGCTGAATTGCACACTGAGCATCTTGCCTCTAGTTATTTTCTTTCTGTTTCTTTTTTTGTTATTCAGACCAACACTAGATAGGAGTGGTACTTTGCCAGATTTTTTTTACAAAACTGACTTAGAGTCCCTAAAACTTAGTTAAGCTGTATGCAGCGTGTTGGCTCGCAACTACTTACCCAAAGAAGAGAACTGCTTTTTCCCCTTTTATTTTTCCCTCTTCCAGCTGATATCTCCAATCTGAGGAATCCTTTATCATCAGAGATTGTTATTGCACTGTATATGGGGCAGGTGAATGCTTTTTGTGTGACACTTAATGTCCATTGGACTAATCTATTATGCATTAGCATGGTTTTTGCCAGCTACACTAATTTGTAGTAGAATTAGTCCAATGGGCACTTAGTTCAGCTTTCTAGTCCAGTGGGCATTAAGCATTTTGTGTAGACATGCCCGCTGTTCAGTAAACTAGGCTACTGTACAGTAAATTTACTACCTGCATATGCAGGTAGTGCATACACAGGTAGTAAATTTACTGTGCAGTAAATGTACTGTGTAGTAAAGCCAAATAACATTAATTGCACGTGTATATGTACCTGTGATGAGAAAATACCAAGCGGTCTGTTTTTTTCTTTTAGTCATGTACAGTAAACACAACTATTTAAATTGCCACTAAAATATATAAATGGTGAAAGACACTTAAGATTTCTATAGTGATGCAAGAAGTTGTATTTGAATAGCCAGTATTTCTGCTCTTCTGTTTCTTCAGAGCATTCTCTGCAGCTTTACACTGTGAAACAAATAGGTGCTGTTTTCACAATCGGCAGTAATACAACTTTTCTTCCTATTTAAAATATCTCTGTGTATTCTATGTTTGAGGTAATGGTGATAATTATGCAGTGAATTGTGGAAACACAATATACATTGCATTTATCATGAATATTTTACTACCTCATCTGTATCCTGTCCACTCTCTATCTTCCACTGAATGGCTAAATTTCTAAGCCTCTGAGCAGGTTCCAACAGCTCTTGTTAAATCCTGTTGAAATAATTCTTTCTTTCCTCAAAATGTAGGATTTTTTACAATAATTACAGTGGTCTGAGGTCCAGGTTGGGTAATATGTAGTGTACTGTACCAACACCAGGATTAAGTTCTGATATCTCAAAATTCATCACAACTTGAGCTTATAGTTTTATATCCTCAGTAAGGGAAGATTTCCCAAATGTCCTGTCACAGCTGTCCTTTGACATATGGTACAACCTCTCCTTAGCAATTTCTTTGTCTCTTTCAGTATTGAGAACTAACAAGTGATATTTTACAATGTTTCAAAGAGAGCTCATTGCAAAACAGGAAAATGTTGGCGAACATTTTAATGATTTTCTTTTCCTTGAAAAATATTTTGTAATGCACAGCTTTTTCAGTCAATTTTATTGTCTGGTATGCTCTGTATGTCCACTCTAATCCCCTTAACTCATTTTGTTTAGGTTCGCTGGGGTGATAAAGGATCCACTGAAGAAGGAGCTAGGTTAGAGAAAGCCAAAAATGCTGTGGTGACAATACCAGAAGAACCAGATATTCCCATTCAAACCAAACCTCCTAAATCCAAGCCTACCTCACCAGCTATTCAGGAGAAGTGGTACACTCCAATTAAGGTAATCTTTTAATCTTCAGGTGGCTGTGCATACCTTCGCTATGTTTTTGTGCTTAAAGGCCAGAGTTTGTCATTTAGTTATACTACTCCTGTACAAATAATTCCATTAAAATAAATAGAACTATTTTGGTTGGAAGGCTCTACTCATGTTGTTTTAGCCTTAAATTTAGCCTTTGCTAATCTATTCCAGAATCTGATACCATTTCTTCAAATTAATAGTATTTTACACCATGACCACTTCAATCAATGGGACTACTCCTATAGTAGGGTGCAAATCAACATAAGAATAGCAGAATCAATCCCTTTTATTGGCATTTGCTCTAATTTCAATATTCAGCTGTCTACTCTTTAAAAATGTTAAAGTTTCCTGTATACAGCTTGCAGTGGTTTTGCTAAATAGTCTTTAATAGACATTATGAATTAGAAAAGATAAACATGAAGTAAAGGGGTAGAGTGAAAGAATATACAAACCTGACACAAAGAGAAGAAAATAAGTGGTTGCTAATGACAGTATTATCAAATAGAGATTTTCCTCCAAAAACTGAAAGCCACAGTAAGCAACTTCTCAAAAGTATATACTGTCATGGCAGGTAGATATCTGACTACTGGACAAAAAAAATCCTGATTGCATTGTGGTCTAACTTATATGCTCAGATCTACACATGCAGTGGGTGTAAAACCAAACTGAAATCTCCTGGCCTTGTCTCCTTGGCCTTTGCACTTGAATACTCCTTGATAGGAGCCTTAATGAAGTCACCATGGTTTCGTTATCTCATTTTCGGAGGACTAAATAAATTTTAAATACTAAATGTAGTTTACAAAATCTGCACAAACTATTTTAAAATGCATTTGTTCCTGGAACATGATTATTTGAATAAACAAATATGATTTAAAGGACATTCTTCTTTTTAATTGCGGGTCAGAGTTAAATCTGCCATTTTGACAGCCTGGTTTCCTTTGCTAGCCATTGCATGGATTTAAAATGGCAACTATGTATTGACATGGTCATTTTACTCAAGATAAACATTTTCAGTGGATAAGCTTAAGTTCTGAGTTCTTGAGCTGATACAGCTATTGAAGGATGTGGTGGATGCTCTGTTCAACACCAACCTTGGTTAAGCAAAAATCTTTAAGGACCATAAAAGTTTTAAATGAATGAAGACAAGGTTAAGAAGAAGAATGAGGTCATTTGATTTCTTCTCTTCATCTGTTTTTTTCACCCAGATGACTAGTACAAAGTGTGTGTGTGTGTGTGTGTGTGTGTGTGTGTGTGTGTGTGTGTGCGCGCACACACGCACGCACACAATAAAAAGTACAGTTGTGATTATACTGATGTAACTTGCCGTATGGGGCCTCTTATTTTAGAATAAGTATCCTGGCATAGGTATAAGAAATTTAAATTTACACCTTACCTTTTACTCATGTAACCAGTGCCCCCTGTGCTTTCCCCATACCTGGGGGACCCCAGTCTAAGGAAGGCAAGAATTGTAATTCCCCAAGACCAGAGCTCAGTCCCAGTTTGTGTATGGGAGAGAGGGAATGGCTGCAGGCTGAAATGCTTGGCTGCTCTCCCCCTTCACTAGGACTTTTAGCACTGCAAAATTCTCATGACACTGACCCATTTAAGCAATTCTCTTTGATTGTCATTACAGGACTGTATTTGCTTAATTATACTGGTACAAATCCCTTTGTCAACAGTGTTGTGTTAAGGATGATGTATTGATTTAGCTTCAAATTGTATTTAAAACTGTATTTCATCTACACTGAACTAGTCATGTTTTAAACAAGGGGTGCTCAATAGGGCTGTGCAAAGCTTTGGTAGCCAATTCAATTCAGAGGAGATTTGGCCCAACGTGGGGACTGAATCTCCGAATCCGAATTGAATCGGGACCAATTAAAAGCTCTGAATTAATTCAGAAAAAAATTCAGAAAAAATTCGTCAATTCAGCTGTAGATTAAACAGGCATCTGACACAGCTGCCTCCAGCTGGTAAGTCTGTTGAGGTTGGGAAAGGAAAGGGGTATGGGGAAGGGAGGGATTGGGGCTGGGGCTGGGACAAGTTGCCTGGCCGGGGTGGGAGGTGTAAGACTTGGGGAGAGGGGCAGGGGGTGTGCAGTATATATAAGGTCTGTGCGTCAGGATCTGGGGGAATGCCTGTTCACCAGAGCACCCCAAGGGATGACAAGGTCCAGTGGTCATAAACTCCTCCAAGACGGTTTTAGGCTGGACATAACTTCTTTACTGTCCGAGCCCCAAAGCCTGGAATAGACTCCCTTCAGAGGTGGCACCTAACCTGGACACTTAAGAAACATTTGGATGCTTATCTTGCTGGGATCATTTGACCCTAGCTGACTTTCTAGCTGACTTCCTGCCCCTGGGACAGGGGGCTGGACTCAATGATCTTACGAGGTCCCTTCTAGCCCTAGTGTCTATGGATGTGGGTGTGGCGGCGCTCAGAGTGGAGGCTTTGCCCTGCTGCTGCTTGCCCTCTTCCTCCCGGAGTGAGCCGCACCTACAACCTGCCCCTCACCCCAGCTGGGCAAGCAGTAGCAGGGCAGAGCCCCCACTCAGCACTGCCACGCCTGTATCCTGGGCCCCCCCGCCCCTCTCCCCAAGTAATGCGCCCTTGCTCTGGCTAGGCAGCTTGTCCCAGCCCTAGCCCCAATCCCTCGCCCCTCCCCCAACCCTAGCAGACTTACCAGCTGGAGGCAGCTGTATCAGCTGCCTGTTTAGTCTATGGCCAAATCTCTGAAGTGGCACCAAATCTTTCGGATCTGATTCAGCTGAATCGAATTGGGATGGTGATTCAAATCTCCGAATCGAATCACTGTTCTCCAAATCAGCCGAATCCAAAGCGAATACTTGCTACTTCGCACAGGCCTAGTGCTCAAACTTTTGTCCCCGTGGGCCAGATGAGGGGCCTGCGGCTAGTTCTTGTATCAAATTGGACTCCGTGTACCAGGATTGGGCCTTGCACTGTCTTTACCCATTCCTATGTGCAAGGATTGGGCTCAAGGGCCTCTGTGCCACCTCTACCTGGTCCCACATGTGGAGATTGGGCTCTGGGGTCCTCAATCTTCCTCTTTCCGGTCCTGTGTGTGGGGATTGGGCTCTTGGGGCTCTGCACCAGCTCTGCCCAGCCCTATACACTGGGATCAGGCCCCATGTGCAAGGCCACAGCCCACGGAGCTCTCCACAGACCTGTGGGGGAGCTCTGCAGGTCAGATGACACAGCACTGGCTCCCAGATCTTGGGCAGGGCTTGAGCACCACAGGTTTAAACAAAAAGTGTCCTCATAGGTTTTTGCATCAATTTAACTACAGTGGTTTGAAATTATGCCTGTATAACTTCGCATGTTTACAAGACTTCGGGTAAATCAGTTCCCTGGGAGATTTCCCAGAACAGTAGCTCTCTTGAATAAATGCATCCTAATGAACCAGTGTACACTGTAACACTAGAAGTAAACTTGCTCCCTTGTTACAGGGTCGACTAGATGCACTGTGGGCTCTGTTACGACAACAGTATGACAGAGTTTCTCTGATGCGACCCCAGCAAGGAGACGAGGTTTGTGTGCGTCTGTGTGGGAGAGTGGATGGTGGTGAGGGGACCTGGTTTTGTTTAATAAGTACATTAGGGGATTTTGTGAAATCAGGACTTTAATTACAAGCAAGGCTGGGCATTGGGCATGTTTTCCCCTTAGCTAAAGAAAAGTTATGCAATTACATTACAGTATTAAATTTTAAAGGGGACAAATAACAACATCAAACACCAAAACCAAGGAAAGCCCTAGACCCTTTGTCTCCTGCAGCAGTTGACTAGAATTTTGTAACTATTTTGAAAATTTTAAATTGGATAGACTCTGAAACACATTACATTGATCATAGATTTTTCCTCCCAGTGACCTAAAGCATACTTCACAAATGCACCTGATCTAGAGTATAAATGGACCTCACCAATTGAAATGGATCAGCTGTGCTGCTTTAGAGTCATCACCTGTTCTGCCTGTTAATCGTGTGGGACAATGGGCAATGTGTTCTGCATTTGTAGAAATGTGATCTGGGTAATCTCTGGGGTGCATCTCTAGAAGCAGGGAAAGCTGGTTCTAGTGTAGTCTCAGGGCCGAAACCAGTCAGCTGATTGGTGGTCTCAGCCATGCAACCTCACCAGAGCAAGTTTAACACTCTCTGGTGTGGTCCCAGGGCTGCAACTGTCAACAGAAAAAATGTTATGGCAGCACAAAGGCAACACATCTGTTTATATTCTTAGACCTGTTGGGTAATTACTGAATATCTGTGGATCAACAGGTCAGCATCGCGAGTCAGATATAATTCTACTGAAATCAGTGGAGTTACACCAGTTTACACATGCTGAGACTGGCACAGAGTTCGTGCACCACTTTTTCATGGAGGTGCATCATGTTACTTACATGTGGTATCAGCTTTAGTTTCTTAATTATTCATTTTTCAGTTTGTTTTTTATATTTGTAGCAACTACAAGAACTGAGCGCATGAGGACTAAATCTGTCTTCAGTTCTATGTGCATAACACTACACATGATACAAGGGCACTGAACTCTAGTTAACTTTCCTTTTCCTAGTCAGATAGATAACTGCTGGCAGTTCAAATATGTTGTGCACCATTAATTACATTCCACATTTCTTTTACCTTTTAACAGACTGTTATTTTAAAATGACATAGTCTCTTATTTTTTTCTTAATAGCTCACTAACTTAGTAGATCTATCCTACTTCAATTTGATAGATTAAAGAAGTAGGGATTGGGGGGGTGGAATTTTTTGGTTAAACAGGAAGCCTACATGGTAAAATTCCTTGAATTAGCTGTCCTTGATGATGATTACAAATATGCAACCCCCATCATTATTTAATTACATACTCATTGTATATTCATTCACTGGTCTTATGTATTTGTGGTCTCTGAGAAGCAGTCCCAGTTGAGATTCTGGTTCCTTCATTACTCTAGAGAGAGAAAATATCTGTTGTAGACCTCAGCTGGTAGTGACTCGTTCTCCTGCTTTGTTCTGGCTTAGTTGTGCTGGCTACTGTGTATTGTGGGAGTGGAAAAGAACCATCTTTTTCCTCCTCCTGCCTTGGCTTTTCCTATCTCAGTGTCAGGGGAAGAGTAGCTGTAACTCAGTTACTCTTTACACAGTGCTGCAACCTGTTAAGGTAGTTGTCATAATTGGAGTAAGGGGGGAGGGGCTTATGTCCCCTTATTTCCCTTCACAGATACATAAGACAAGACTTGAGCACCTAAGAACTGCCTATACATAAAGAGCAACTCTAGAGAGCCATAGGTGCCTGACACTTCATGACAACAAGACCAGCAGGCAGCTGTTCAGGAAGTTGGCAGTTTAAATTCTGTATAACATAGTACAAGCTTAGCAGTGAACAAAGGGTCCAGGATTAGTATGAAAAGTTAAGGATTACAACAGTGAAACTTCGTGATAGTTGCCTCTTGTAATGTTTGCTTTTGGGGTGAGATTCATTGCTGTGCAGCAAAAGTCCTGTGCATCACTCAACCTGTCAAAATAAGGTTTACATGGAAGTTTCAGTGATGCATATCTGGTTCTCTGTCAAAGTTGAAATTATTAAAACTGCTGGTCATTCTGATTTGTTTTGTTTATTAAATAATTGAATATATCTAACGTTTAGGCTAATATAGATCATTGATGAAAAGCTGGCTGTGAGAAATTAGTTTTTTAAGGGGTGTTTGAAGGAGGAGAGTGAGTTTTTATGGTGCATGTGATATGGGTTCAGAGGGAACATCTACATGGCAGGATAAAGTCACATGTGGGAAGAGAAGACAAGCAGAACACCATGATCTGTTGAGCTTGCTCCCCACATGTACAGCGAAGGAGGTGAAGGGAAACTGGATGTAAGTGAGGAAAGTCTCAGCTAGAGAAAATTCTGCACCACTTAAGGATTTGTACTCAGGCCAGGACTCTACAATACACGGAAAGTAAAGCTTAATGGGGAGAGAAGGAAAGGGAAACAGGACCTTGTGGAAGTGATGATACTTAGGGTGATAGAGAGAGAGCAGGGTGAGGAAGATGGCCCTACCAGAAGCATATAAGGTACACCCAAAGGAGGCAGCATGAGCATTAAGGAAGCTGATGTCAACAGTATGAGAGATGAATAGGCATGGACCTCGTTGTTGACAGTAAAGGATGAAGTTTAGAACTATTTTAAACGAAGCAATAGAATACTTGAGCTGGAATGGAGGCAGAGGTAATAATGGAAGGAATGGAATGAGGGAATGGAGAGCTGGAGTTAGGGGATGTCTCTTTCGTAACCATACAGACTTTCATAATGAATATTTTCAATGAAACCCTATATTAAATATAGTAGATGCAGCTGTGCATCTAAGCTAGATAATTTGCCAGGTAAGTGGGGTACAGTTAAGTAGAGGTCTTGATAATTTAAATGGTAGTTGAGCAGGCTGGAAATTAAGTGTATTATTGTTGTCAGGGATGTTGTGAAGAAAGAGAAAGAAAGAATGAAAAGGGTGTCTTTGTAAAACTTTCCCAGCATAGAAAAATACAGACAATTTTTAGAACCAGCAGGAAATCAAACTTCCGTCTTCTGTGAGCTTGACACAAAAATGGTGACTGATGTCTTCCTTTGCAAGAAGCAGAAAAAGCTCTGTCTGAACTTCTATTGGCTGAGAGAAGCGGTAGAAATTTAAACTGATGGGTGAAATATAAACAGCAAATACAGCTTCTGTCTGGCTAGCAGCATGTTTTATAGGCATAAAAGAAAATCATGCTGTTATTTATTCATAGGTCATTGACTGCAGATCTGCTGTTGCTTTACCTCTTGTGAGTTCCAGTCAGTAAACAAACCAGTAGACACACATGTGTATACACGCACACACACACACACACACACACACACACACACACACACACACACACACACACACACACACAGAGTGCTGTCATGCTAAATAGCAGGCAAACAAATTAATTTTTCCTCTTTTATTGCTTAAGAACCTAGCACTTCCTATCTGCAGAAGAATTCACTGCTGAATTAAAGCCCTTGATCAAGTAATTGAAATTTAGGCATGAATTATCAAAGCAGAGGAAGCTTTCTCTTCCCCTACTCCAGCCTCAGTCCCTGCTTTTTCTGCACTGCCAGCTAATGCTGAGGGTGGCCCAGTTAGAGGGCTGCACACAGTTTAAGCCAAGAGGCTTTGATTGTGGCTGGAACTCCTCAGAGTCATAAATTTTTCAGCTAGCAATCCACAAGGTTAGGGAAGCTTGTACAGGTGTGAGTTAGCAGGTTGTCGCCGACATCTGTTTAGAGCAGAGGCTCAGGTCCTCACCAGCCTGCAGCGAAGCTGCTGGATTGTCAGCAGATGTAGTTAAGAGTGGCAGAACAGTTTTGGTCTCACATTTGCCGCCTGGGGGGCTGAAACACTAAAGGTAGAGTGGGGGTGGACACAGCTGCGCTCCTAAACATGCCTCAGGCACAAATAAAGAGATCTAATATAGTTTGACTCTGTTGTGGTTGGGAGACGAGGGCAGAGAGCCACTTCAGAGACAACTTAACGCAGCAACATCTGCCGCCAAGTTTCCAGGGAGTGACAGGGGACAGCAGGTACAGATCGAAGTCCCCACATAAACAGCCTCCATTAAGCCATGAACTCTTTTGAAGGGCTTCCATCAAACATGTTGGAGTCCACAGTAGGAGTTTGTTTTGTTTTCAGAGCAGTGTTTTGTTTTGTACACTAACAAGGTAATTTATAAATGATGCATTACCCTACATTCATACTTTTGTATTTATTTTTTTAAAGAAATAAAGACGTAGAGAAGAAAGAACCACAGTGCTGTGGGGGTTAGTCCACAAACCAATTAGCTGCCAGAAAACCATCTTGGTTTTAAGGGAGGTTATGTTAACCTTCAGACCACATCACATCACCCTTCTCAGCCTTTAAGCAAAGCTGAGCTTGTATACCATTTGATAGTACCGTTGTGGAGGAGTATGCCTGCCATTGTTTCTCTTCTGAAATTCCTGTTTTGAGGTATTTATTAATAATGTAATATCATTATGGTTTTTCACATGCTCCAGATGGCCTTGCTGTTTTGGTAAGGTTCATACTCACTGAAAAACTTGTATACAGCACTGACTTTATGCACATGGTTAATCCATTGAACTCATTGGGACTACATGTTGGCATAAGTCTTTGAGAGATAAGGGCATAAAAATGCATGTCTTGTAATAAAAACAATTCTATAGAAGGCCCGTATAACATCCTTAGTCTGAGTATATAGTCTGAATAAGAAACATAGTCCTACTTCAAAGCTAGAAGATATTTTCACAATTTAGTTTAGAATACTTTTATTATAAGGGAAGGTAATGCTAACACATGTCACATGGAACAAGTATGTAAGTTAAAACTTCAGAATTAATTTTACAAATAGGACTGGTAATGTATATTTACATGATATTATATTGTGAACAGCTGCCTGTTAGGTCTCACAAATAAGTCATCTTCAGTACAATAATTATATTAAAATCAGGTAACATACTGCCAAGAGCAATCT